AGGAAAGCACTCGGCATGTGGGGATGAGAGCAGAAGTTTCTGGCCAGAATCAAGGTTCAAGGGGAGGCGAGGCTGCGTCAGGACATATGTCCTGTCCGGGGAGCTGGCGTCAGTTATGTGGACATAGGGAGCCATGGAAGGTTTAGACCAGGGGAGTGGTGCAGCTGGCCTGGCCCACAGGGATGGGGATGTGTTTGGTGCACAGTGAAAGCTGCTGCAGGCCTTGGTAGCAGGTAGGGTGGTGTCCCTTGGCCACACGCTGGGCCCTGGGTTCCCTGTTTGTGCTTTCTCCTAACCAAGTCCTGCTGTGTCTGCCCCAGAAAACCAGGAATACTTTGAGAAGCACCGGTGGCCGCCTGTCTGGTACCTGAAGGAGGAGGACCACTATCAGCGGGCCCGCAAGGAGCGGGAGAAGGAAGACTACCTCCACCTGAAGCGGCAGCCCAAGCGGCGCTGGCTTTTCTGGAACAGTCCGTCCTCCCCGTCTTCCTCCGCTGCCTCCTCGTCGTCCCCCTCATCTTCCTCGGCTGTGGTCTGAAATGCGCTACTCTGTCTGGCCCTGCTGCTGTGGCCCCATTCGCCCTTTCCTCTCTGCTCTTCCGTATCACTCCCTCACCTTACAGGGACAAGGGGACCCAAAAACCAGGCCCCCAAGGGCAGAGCTGTCCTCACCAGCCACCGGGCCAGCCAGAGAGGAGCCCGGCCCTGTGGGTTAGACCCAGAGACAGAGCAGGAGGTGGGAGCAGGGAGGGAGCCGAGGGCTCTGGAACCTCTCCAGGCTGGAGAGCCCTAGCAAGGAAGGGGAAGCAGCCACAGGGCTGGCTTGTGTCTTGGTCTCGGCCTCTGCTCCGGTCGGGGACACAATGCTCGCTGCGCTCTCTGAGCAGAGGCCTGCCTCAGTTGGCCTGTCTCCACCATTGCAAAGCTTGTGTTTCCACGAGGAGCCTGCTCAGGCCTCATGGGAAGTCAGGGTAGAAGTGACGCCTTCAGAGCCCAGGACGAGGAAGGCTGCGTCCTGCCAGTCGTCCGGAGCACAGTGCGGCTGGCTGTGGCGACGGCTGTTCAGAGCCCTGGGCCTGGGAGCGTGCCTCTGGGTTGCAATGAGAAACCTCTGCCTCGCCCCTGCCACAGCTCAGATGTGGAGATGGCCACCAGGGGAAATAGCTGGGGTGGGGGGAAGGAAGGGGCCAGGTCTGTGCTCTGTGCACATGACCTCAGCCCCTCCCTGCCCTGACAGCACTGCTTTTTATGGGGTGGGGCAAAATTTGCAAAAACAACAGATAAAAACCAAACTAAATCACCAAGAAAAACACTCTATCCTCTATCCCCATCCCAGAGAAAGCAAACAAATGACCCGGCCCAGCTTCCATGTTTAAAACACTGAAGGGAGGCCTCAGGGAGACGGCCGTGCAGGCCGCAGGGCCAGGGGTGCCGGTCAGCAAAGGCTGGTCGCCGCTGCCCTCCTGAAGCCAGGCCCTCACCTGCAGAGGGGACCCCGGCAGGATGTTTGGGAGGGGGGCCCAGGTCCGGCAATAGGGCGCAAGCTAGAAAGCCAGGGCCCAGGACACCGCCCTTCCCGGTGCCAGCCTGGGATAGAGGAAGGGCAGAGTGGGCGGGAGAGCAAAGTTAATCCAGAGAGGAGGGGAAGCTGCAGGCAGGTTCCACTGGAGCTCGCAGCCCCCAGAGGCCACAGCCCACCCTCCCGGTTTTGCAACCTGAAGCAGTCGTCTAGATGGTCGCCCGCAACCCTGTCCAGATTTCAAAGATGGAGTTGGGGCCAGGAGGCCAGGAGCTAGGCTCAGGACTCCAGGGTCACCTTGCCTGGAGAGGCACTTCAGCAGAGGGACCGGCGAGGGCCAGCCGGGAATGAAGGCACCCTCCGCAGTGACGTGAGCGAGGCTGGATCCTCCTGCAGAGCTGAGCTGCCTGCTCTAAGGTGGGCGTGGTGAGCCACCGGCCTCCTCTCCCAGTCCTTGGTGGCCAGTCAGAAAGCCGGTCGTGTGCTGCCCTCTACTGACGGGTCAGCCTCCCGTCAGCTGGGCTGGCTCCAGGTGATGGGGAGCCTGTGAGCAGAGGCTGTGGGAACACTGTGGGGGGCACCCAGCGCCTGACCTTTGGCTTCTGGGAAGAGGGACAGTGTGGGGCATGGCTGGACCAGGACCCTTCTGGGAGCTGCAGGTGAGGGAGACCCCGCCCTGAAGTGCAAGGGGACCGCGGTGGGGCTCACAGGTGCTTGCTGGGGCCCCCTGGTGAGGATGCAGGCAGGTGAGGTTGTGTGGGAGGATGCCCTCAGGAGAGTGGCCAAAGGGCACCCCAGCACCCAGCCCACCCCTCAGGGACCCGCCCTTTCCCCACCGCTCAGTGGGAGCCAGTCTACACCCCGCGGGAATGTGGCAAGCTGGGCCAGCCCAGGTGGACCTGGCACCTTGGAACCCAGGGAGACAGAAGCAGGAACGCCCAGGTGGGGCCAGCCTGACGGCAGGAGGAAGGACACAGCCCTGGACTTAGCTGGGCTAGGGGAGAGTGGGAGGGCGGGGTGGGGAAAACCCCACACCTCTTTTTATATAAGGTTTCATATTTAATTTGGTCATGAATTCATAAATACATGAGTATTTTGTACCTAAAGGTTTTGCTTGTACTGTTTTTATTTGTTTCTTCCATGAGAGAGAGGAGGCGACCTCAACAGCGTCTCCAGGCTACCACCCGCCCCAGCCTCTGCCAGCCCCCCAGGCCGGGCACACGCATGCCTGGCATACTCAGAAGTCTGGATTCGAACCAGGAACCCTCCTATGCAGGACTGCTCCGCAGAGCACTGCATCTGACTGCTGTGCTGCCGTCTGGCCCCATTTCCTTGTGTCAATATTAATTACCAACACATTCCAAACAGGGACCTCCGCGGGGCACAGCAGAGAGGACATGCAGCCGCTAAGGACACGCTTCTGTGAAGCCTGCCGTGCCCAGTGGCGCTGGGCTGGGAGTGAGCGTAACCAACCAGCAGTGCCCCTGGGTCCTGTCGCCCAGCTCGCCCCAGTGGAGGGCCTTGACAGGCACTGCTGCGGCCACCGGGGGCCTCAGGAAGTTCGTGGAAATTGTGTACTGCAGTAGCACTGTGCATGGATCTTTGGGAGGGGGCACCAAAATAAACTCATACTTTAATTCCATCTTTTCTGCCAACTTTTTGAAGTCCCCTCATGCTTCAGACGGAAGGAAGTCCTCTGAGAAAACGAAAGGGCGCTGGAGCCTGGCAAACTCCCTCTGAGCTCTGTGGTCAGAGGGACCTGCACGGAGGGCAGAGAAGAGGAAGGACCAGAAGGCAGGACGCCCCACACCTGCAGGGGCCGAGGGCAGCTCGTGGGCTCGGAAGGAGGTGGAAGAGGGATGATTGTGACTGCCATGGGGGCCTCTCACCCTAACCTCAGCACCCTGGACAGGATACCCACATGGTCAGCAATTCTAGCGTCGGCTCAGCCATGCTAGCCTGAACAAGACGACATGGAATTGTTTCACGCATGCAGGCACCTTGAGATGGCAAAGGCCAAAGGCCTAAGAACCCTTCCTTACAGTACGCTGGCGTGGCTGGAGCACTCTGGAGAAGGCTGAAACACTTACTGAGGTTTTTTTAAAAAAAGAGAGGAAGCAGGGCCAACAGGAGGCATGGTGGTTAAGGTACTGGACTCCATGGTCAATCGCAGTTCGAGTCCCAGACCTGGTGGCTTGCTTTCTGACTTTCCCCTTCTCTCTCTCTCTCTGTGTCTTGGGTCAAATTAAAAATAATAATAATAATAATAAAAACAAATAAAATTAGATAAATATTTTTTTAAAAAACTAAGAAAAGTAAAGCTGGCCCCATCAAGCAGTGGTTAAGCCCTGTGCATAGGGAGCTAGATCCCACATGGCTGACCACGTTTCGAATCCCAGCCCTGGAGGGTTGGAAAACATGCTGAGCACGTGAGCATGCAAACCCCAAATTCTGATGGGATGGAGAAATGGAGGGGTTCTCCCTCTCTCTAGTGAACGTGTGTGTCCTCTGGCAATAAAAACAACAGAACAAAGAAATACTCAGAGAACAGTGTGAGGCAAAGCCCAGATGCGGCAGCCACTCCGGTCCCGTTGACAAAGTAGCTCAGGCGAGGCATTTCTGTGTTGAGCCTTTTATCTAAAAGTCAGATGTTTACAAAGGGGTAAGGCCCCTCAAATAGGGATCTGTACCCCAGAATGCAGCCCTGGGGCTCACATCCACAGGCCACCAGCAGGGAGAGAACCTTGACACCATTCACGGCACTGCCTGCTCTTGTTCCCTGAGGCCATGGAAGACTCTGGGGCCAGACTGGTCCTCTCCCTGCCAAGCTCAGGCAGGGCTCAAGGTTCACCAACACTTGCTGGAAAGAAGTCTCTGCCACTGCCATCCAATCAACCATGTCCTCCTTCCCTGCCCATGAGTGAGGGCATCGAGGTCTGTGTACACCTGGACCAACCACCCAGGGCTACTCGCAGGTACCATCCTCAAGACCCTGCAGATGAGGAGGGCACGTGTGCGTGTGTGCCCAAGATCCCGAGAGGAGAATGGAGGAGAAGGGATTGCGGCATGACCATCCCCCTGGGGGGTGATTTCTCTCTTTCTGTCTCTATGTCTCTCTCTGTCTGTCTGGCGAGCACACGTGCCCTATAGCAGAAAAAAAAAAAAAAAAAAAAGACCCTGCAGATGAGGAAATACTCAGCGACCTCTCCCCTGTTGGGTCTACAAGATCACCATGGTTAGAAGTTGCATAATTTTGGAACAGTGGACGGCGTAATGGTTATAATGCTGGACTCTCACATAGCTGACCATGGTTCGAGTCTTGGACCTGGTGGTTAAAACTCATGCTGGGCGCATGTGCCTAAAATCCAGAGAGGAGAATGGAGGAGAAGGGACTGCAGCATGGCCATCCCCCCGGGAGTGATTTCTTGCTTTCTGTCTCTGTCTTGCTTGTGAGCACAAACACCCGATAGCAAAAATCTCTCTTAAAAAAAAAAAAAGAAAAGAAGCTGCATCATTCAAGCCCAGATGAACTGGACTGCACATGAGGGAGAAATGGATCCTAAACAACGGGCCCTCACAGAGGAAAGACTTTTCTCCTCCCTTTCTCTTTGTATTTCCACTCATTTTACGACTGCCCACTCCATCCGAGTAACCTATATAAATAGCTTAGCAAGTACACTTCTAAATATGTTTGCATGCTTATATAATCACACGTGAAAACAAAGAAGCCTGAGCGATGGGCCAGCAGGTGGCCTGGTGGTTAAGGTGGCTGGATCCCACATGGCCAACTGTGCTGTTCAAGTCTCCGGTCCAGCAGCTTAAAACCACACACCAGCCACGTGTGTATGCATGCCCAATATCCCAAAAGGAGAGATGAAAAGAAGGGACGGCAGTGACTGTCCCCCATGGGGAGGCCTTTCCCTCTTTCCCGCCCTGTCTCTCCTCCCTCATCCCCTAGTCAGTGGGTGAGTCCTTTAGCAAATTAAAAAAAACAAAAAAACAAAAAAAAAAAACTGAAAGGCAATTTTGTTTTTATGGTTATAGGCTATGTGCTTGCTGGAGAGAGAGAAGTCACCCCCTGGGGGAATGGCCATATCACAATCCCTTCTCTTCCATTTTCCTCTCAGGATCTTGGGCATGCATGCACATACACCCAATATGATTTTCAGGCCATAGGTCAGGAATCGAACCACAGACTTGGCCCTTAACCTCCATGCCACCTGCTGGCCAAAAAGTAATCAGCCCTTGTGTTGACCCACCTCTCCAGCATTTCACACAGGGCATCCTCCAGCCCACTGCGCCACGTGGTCCCCACCACCTGAGGCCCTTCACTGCACAATGGGCTCCAGAAATTTAAGGGTGTGGTGTTTGTAAAATAGGCAAAGAACAGCTTCAGGGCCGGGTGGCGGAGAAGCCAAGCTGCTCAGGTGAGTTGAACCCACTTCAGAAAAGGCAGAAAATCCCAAGACAAACTGGGAAACCTATGGCTCACACACACACACACACACACACACACACACACACACACACACACCCCGGCTTCCTACTCTCAGCGGCCCAGGCAC